AGTGTCCTACTGTGCCTATACCCCCTGCTTCATCACGGTGTAGAATTGAAGAGTCACATTCAGTATGTTTCCGTATTTTCATCGAGTCAGAGTAGTTATTTCTAGTTATTTCTGAATACTTACTCAAAAATACTGAAAATATCCTGAATGTGACTCTTTAATTCTACGACGTGATGAAGCAGGAGGTATAGGCACAGTAGGACACTCTCCTCTAATTATTATCTACTCTTGATTCATGTAATATGTAGATTTGATAAACTACACTGTACATGTATGTTATTTTTCTGTTGTCAAAAAATATTTTGTTTCATATAGTGAGCAGTTTATGGACTGGAAGGCATATTAATCGGAATATTGTTTACTTTCCATTCACAAGTTCTAATGCTAATCCTTCACTGGAAGGATTCGTCAGGTTCTGGACATTTGTCATTGCATTTCAGGTAAATATGTACATATACATGTACATGTACATTTATGTCTACATGTACTTATAGATTGTAGCATGTAAGTATTATTATTAAAGAAGTACATGTACATGTATGTGCTTTCCTGGATTTAAAAAATAACTTACATGTATGTGTACATGTATATGCATATAGTTGTTGTTAAATTCTTAGTGCTAAAGCTGTCACACAAGCTATTCTATTCAGTTATTCAACTCTTGCAGTTATTTACTATGGTACATGTGTACATGTACAGTATGCAAGCATTTTGCTGCATGTACATGTATTTTAGTGATCAATTTGATTAAATGTACAGGTAATGTGATCAACTCTTGAAGCCATATACATTGTAAGTATATTGAAACTGAAAGTACATTTTGTAATCTATTTAATATTGTGATTCAACTAAATCAATTGTTAAGTATGATTATTATAATCAAGTTTTTGTGGCATTCAATGCACTAATGTGTGCATGTTTACGTACATGTACATGTATGTTTAAATACACATATGCATTACATGTACATGTATGTATGTCATATTGTTATGTACATGTAGGTTATTATACCAGTATCACTGTACATCACAATTGAGATAGTAAAGATATGTCAAGTCGTCTTCATTACATGGGACCTGGACATGTATCACGAGGAGACAGAGAGAGGAATCCAGTGTAAAGCTTTGAATATTACTGAAGACCTGGGGCAAATAGAACACGTGTTCACTGATAAGACTGGCACACTCACTGAGAATGAAATGATATTCAGATGCTGTACAATCAGTGGTAACAACTACCCTCATGGATTGGAATGTGAGGAGAATTAATTCTACATACATTTGTACATGTACTTGTGTTTTAATGTGCTCTATCATTTACATGTACATAGAGCAGGGTTTCCTACAGTATTTTGGCATAATATTCAGCTTCTTGTCAGTGAATTCAATTTTTAAAGTTGATAAAATATTTGACAAAATTAATATCCTGTACTGGTATTTAATTTTATTGAATATGGCATCGATAGTATTTTTATCACGTTTTGTGGTACATTTACATGTACTTGTTTTTATGTTTTATAGAAAGTTTGACAAAATTTTATTTGACAAAAATTTTGACTGACGAAAATTTGGAGCTATACGGTAGTTCCTGTGCTATGAGACCTGTGAACAGTACTTTTTTGAAAATGACTATCATTTTAATTTTTAATCGATGACTACAAAAATAACTAAAGACACTACAAAAAATAACTAAAGACACTACAAAAAATAACTAAAGACACTACAAAAATATCAATAATTAATAGTCAAACTGTCCATGGTTAGACAATGCACTTATTGGACCGTAGCAATCTGTGACTTCACAGGAATATTTTTAGAATCCAGACCAGGAGTCTGACCATGAAGATCAAATGTAATATTGACGTCCTTACGGAACACGAGGCAATGTGTGGATCCGCCAAAGTGAAACATCCCTATCTGTTGGCCTTTCTGTATGTGCTGCCCATCAAACACAGTAATCTCACAAGTTGACACCTCAGCCATTCCCACTGCAATGAAACACATGAGACCAATCTTTGGGTTGTCAGCCTCAATAAAGATGATCCCCCTGGTAGCAACTTCTGTTATATAGCCCTGAGAATTATTGGGCCCTGCTGGATCACCTTTCTCAGATTGAGCCTCAGAGTAGTAGCTTCCGTCTTGAACATATGCTTTAACAACCTTGCCATCAACTGGACTATGCCAACGATGATAGCTGAAAGCACTGAGAAAAGCTTGGTATACAGTCCCTCCTACAAACTCCTCTGCTAATGGATCATTAGCAAGCATGAAGTTGATGGAGTAAGGCTGTGCTTTGATCCAGAACCTGTCTCGGCGTCTCACATTTTTCTGAATCTTATATGGAGCAGATTCACAAGCATTTACTATGACTTGTGGATCATTAGGGGATGCAATGGGACGAATGCCTTTACGAAACTCCCGAGTAAAAAAATCATCCCAAGATTTGAAGCCATAGTGCGGTTGCGATGGATTACATACGTAATCTAAGACAAAATTCTGCATGTGAGCCATGGCATTACGTCCCAGCCAGCCATTTTTATCAGTAGTAAGGACATAGCAAGATTCTTCAGATTTAAGGAAGATGGCCCAGTGATTGAGGATATTTTTGAAATGAACATTAACTTTGTCATTCAAAAAGGCAGCAAACCCTCCTGTGGTTCCCATAGGCCAATTTAGAATAGCATTGATGGGAAAACCAACTAGTCCGGACTCGTTGAATTCTGGTGCTTTGGTCATGACTTGGTTTATCAGACGTAACATAAGGCGATAGTTTTTAACCTGCGGTTTACCGGTTGGATCTTTAGCTGGGATCTGTCGGAACATTTGGTGAAAGAACATGTTAACCTCAGAGTCGGTTTCTATCAGGACTTTAAGAGCTCTAACTGGTGGCTGTAATCCGACTATCTCAAGGCCTGCATCTGCAGCATCAACCTCATCAGTACCATCAGTGGAGTCTTTTCCATCAACTTCTTCGATGAGATCCTGGAGCCACTTGTTAAGGACGGCTTGATCAGATGGGAGCCATTTACCAACACAATATGGGATTGCTTTAGCTGCTTTATCCATAATAGATAGATTACCCTTAAAGAAGGATTAACAGATGTCCCTCTGATCATGAACGCTGCCAGCTTATATAGTCATGACTTTGAGATAGTACTGACTAACATCTAGTAGAGTTCCATTCACTTATTATTAACATAGTTTGTGGAATAGACGGGTGCTATATGATTGTAACCACATCCTTCCCAGGAGCCAGAAAGTATGGCTGTAGGGGACATAGCTTGAAAGCCATGATAAATAATTATAATAAATCACTGTCCTGTATCATAGATAATCTAATAGAGTATGAACTACTCTATATTGATAATATCAGTAGTCTAGAGTAAGTTATCGATAGTCCTAATAGATATCTGTGGTAAAGGACAGCATCCTTCCCCAGGAGCCAGAAAGTATGGCTGTGGGAGACAGCTTGAAAGCCATGATAAATAATTGTAATAAATCGCTTTCCTGTATCATAGATAATCTAATAGAGTATGAACTACTCTATATTGATAATATCAGTAGTCTAGAGTAAGCTATCGATAGTCCTAATAGATATCTGTGGTAAAGGACAGCATCCTTCCCAGGAGCCAGAAAGTATGGCTGTGGGAGACAGCTTGAAAGCCATGATAAATAATTGTAATAAATCGCTTTCCTGTATCATAGATAATCTAATACAGTATGAACTACTCTATATTGATAATATCAGTAGTCTAGAGTAAGTTATCAGTAGTCCTAATAGATATCTGTGGTAAAGGACAGTTTAGATCATCTCCTTCCAAAGTATTTCGACACTTAGCAGTAATAGAAAGTTTACTTACAGAAAAGTTATATCTACAATGTATATCAGCATGACACTGCATCTGGTGAAACAAATCCTCCTCGTCCACCTTTCATTTCTTCTAAATCTTTTGGTGGGATGATTTCGGAGCCATTTTTTGGAAAAAACCGTGTGCTATAGTACAGGGTATTTTTCAGAAATTGGCCCGTTTCTTTAAATGACCATAACTTGAAAAAATTTTAGTCTAACTTTCTACATAGCATAGGTACATGAATTTGTATCAGAAAATGTAATAGAAATGTAGGGTAATTTTCAGAGTCATTTTTTGAAAAAAAGTGTGGGCTATAGTACAGGGTATTTTTTAGAAATTGGCCTGAGCTGTTTTGTAAAATGGCCATAACTTAAAAATTTCTGTCAGAATCACCAAAAACTTTCTACGTAGCATAAGTACATCAATATGTATCAGAAAATGTAATAAAAATTTAGGGTGTTGAATTGCATTCACTTACCATCCTTTGTGGGAAACCCTGCATTAATAATACATGTATTAATATTAAATTAATCTCTATGTATTTTTTATTTCCTGTTCTAGTTGGTAGTGGTTTGATTGATACTCAATTGAGTTTAAATACAATGCTAGAAGGAACAGACTACCCTAATCACAAAGTTAGTCCACATCAGCACATACAATGTACTTACAGCAATCCCTATAGTCTAAGCTAATCCTTGATTCACAGTTAAAAAGAGAGCTTAGTCACCCAAAGTCATCATCTTCATTCCTCAATGACTTTTTTATTAATATGGCTGTGTGCAACACAGTGGTAGTTGCACAGCGTACCACGTCTACTGGGGGAAAGGATGGACCTCCTGAGATTATATATGAAGCTGAATCTTCTGATGAATATGCTCTAGTTGAAGTAAGAAAAGGATGTGCATGTATATGTACATGTACATTTATGCACAATGCATGTAATTGTATAGCATGCACTAGTGGATCCAGAAAAAAATTCCATTTCAATAAAGTGGTTGTGGCTCGTACATACATGTATACTGTATTAAGTTTAATTGAGGTCATTTTAATGCATGTACACTGTACAATATACGTGTACAGTAGTTCAAAATTTTTGATTAATAGCTTTTGTATTTTTTTGACTGTTCAACAAAAATGCATGTCCATGTAGCAGCCGGTACATGTACATTGTGTACATGTGTAGTTGCAAAATTAAATATATTGCCATAGTTCTTTAACTTTATATGTACATGTACATGTACATGTATATAGCTTGTTAGCCTTGTTATGCTTTATTGTACATGTAGGCTGCTCGTGCCTATGGGTATATACTGCTCTCCCGGTCTCCGACTCTCATTCGTCTTCAAACTCCTCATCAAGGGATCCTGGAGTTAGACCTACTTCATGTACTTGAGTTCAGTCCTGACAGAAAGAGAATGTCAGTCATTGTTAGGCTGAACACTGATGGAGAGGACCCTCAGATAGTGCTCTACACTAAAGGTGCTGATTCAGTGATATATGGTTTATTGGATTACAGTCTCTCTGAGGAGACTAGTGAGGTTACTCAAGACCTCCTTAACAAGTATGGAAGACTCGGCCTAAGGACACTCTGCTTGACCAAAAGAGTTAGTAATGATTACAAAATTATTATGCATGTAGTTGTACTGTACATGTACATGTATATACAGTTACATGTATACTTGTAAGTCCATTTCTGCTGAGTATTAATGCATGTATGCATATACTAAATGTATATTGTATGTAGTTATGCAAAGGCATATGATTTAAGAGCACATGAAATATTTTAGTCTTTGATACATTGTATTAACTTCGATTACAATTAATGAGAATAAAATGATCACGAAATAATTTCATGTTTGGTCTAAGTGATGAACTGGTTTGTTAAAGCCACTGATTATCATAGGCAGAACCATGTATGAGTATATTTTTTGAATTTGAATATAAACCATTTCAACTGTGATTGTTTGATTTATTTTCCATTAGGTTATTAGTGAGGATGAATACCAGGCTTGGGCTAAGTCACATCAAAAGGCTGAGAGGGATCTTAACAATAGGGACACATTATTGCAAGAATCCTATAGCAACATCGAGAAACATTTACAATTACTTGGTAAGAGCAGAAATGTACAGTATGTAGGAATATTATTGTTGCTGGTATATTTTGGTAATACATGTATTGCAGTATCGCTATTACATGTACATGTACATGTACATTTACATTCATTAACTCATATCATTATTACTATCAATTGGCTTTTAAGTCTGCATGATTATGACATGCATTTTGCATGTTTTAAAAGTCCAATTTTAATCAAAATCAGCTCAAACAGTTTACAATGTAGGTTAGAGTCAGCTAGCTTATAGATGTGTACATGACATACACATACATGTACATGTACAATGTAAATGTGAAGGTTTGTCTCTTAGACGAAATACGCATGTACATGTACACTTTGTGTATGTACTGTACTTTGCCCAGTTTTGAAGCAAGTTAAACTATTATGCTCATGTACATGTACATGTAATTATACTATACCTACATTGTATGTGTACATGACATGTAGCTCTTTGAAAAATAGAATTGCTACAAAATTTATGAGTCTCTTCTTTTTCTTTATTTCATTTCTTAGGAGCTACGGGTATAGAGGATAGATTACAAAGTGGTGTACCTGATACTATACAGGCACTGAGAGAGGCTGGTATCATTATATGGATACTAACTGGTGACAAGAAAGAAACTGCCATCAACATTGGCTATTCATCCAAACTACTTGAATATGATACTGAGATAGTATCGGTACATGCCCAGTCAGAGGTACACAATGATGAGTTACAATGTATAAATTACTAGTAATGCACCGATACCAATACGAATATCAGAAAAATATTGTTATCAGCCATATTAATGCAAATCGCACAAAATAATCAGCTAAATGTACATGTAGTTAATATTAGTTTTCTAAAAATACATGTAAGATAATAAATAGACAAGTGTAATATTGTATATGTATTTTTTTGTCCGTAGGAACAGTGCCTCAGTACATTGACTGCGATATATCAAGACAGATGCAAGGGAGATGCCAGAGGCTTTGCTACCGAAAGTGGTTCTTCAAGTTATATGTCACATACTGTAGATATGTTTAGGAACCAGTGGTTTAAGCTTAAGAATTTGTCTCGTTCGGAGCCTAAGGGTCCACCACTCTCCTCCTCCTCCTCCTCTTCAAAGGCAATAGTCATTGATGGAGATACACTAGCTCTTGCCTTGCATGATTCTTCTCGTAAATTATTTGTTTCGATTTGTAAAGAGTTTGATACTGTGATATGCTGTAGAGCTACTCCTTTACAAAAGGTCTGTATTTAATAATCTTGTTATTGATCTGATTGCCACAACAGAAACGTATTTAAGCTTGACATGTTGTACATGTAAATGTACATGTACATGTATATGTACATGTACTTGAATTTGTGTAATGAAGCTTCATCATTTAGAGCACAATTATAATCATTCACTTTTATACCTCTGTGCTTATTTTATTTTTTTACTTGTGCATGCAGTGCCGCCAATACTATAAGGCCTCATTTACATAATTACATGTATTTTGGCCTAATTTGCATCCTTTCTTGCTATTACATGTACATGTACTGTTTTTAGATGTTTACACTAATCAGGCACCTGCGTTTTCATTAGAATTTATCATTTTGTCTATAGAAGTATCCATTTTAGTATTCGTTTTTTGGATTTGATATGCGTTTTCTTGTGTTTTAGTGTAAATGAGACCTTTATTCGACCAAAAATAATATCCCTTTTAATTTAGAACGTAGTCGTGTAACCGTGGCCTAAACCTTAATAGTTGCATTAATGCAGTGTGGTTTTGAAAATAAGTATTATTATTCTACATAGGCTGGTGTGGTGCAGTTATACAAGGAATCTGGAGTGATGACACTAGCTATTGGTGATGGAGCTAATGATGTTAGCATGATACAGCAAGCTAATGTTGGAATAGGAATCGCTGGCAAAGAAGGAATGCAGGTAATAGCTTTAAATCAATTTTATTTCAGGTTCTTGTACTATTGATCACTGCATGTACAGCATTATAATTAAATAATGTACTACACTTTTGATTTTGCAATAATGTTGATAATCACAGCCAGCAGGAAGTTACAATCTATAAAAATTTAAAGCCAGTAAATCTCCGATTTTAATTTTTTCAAACAGACTTACATGTATAGTATTATGACAATACTGCCATTAGTCTTTATAATACTTAAGACTCAGTATATACATTTGTACACTGTGATGTACAATTGTACATGCATGCATATAGTACATGTCCATAATGTACATGTACATTAATTTCCTTTTTTACAATGTACTTCTACATGTATGTTTAGGCAGTATTGGCTAGTGATTTTAACATGGCACGGTTTTCTTATCTAAAGAAGTTGCTCCTGGTTCATGGTCACTGGTGTTATACAAGATTAGCAAATTTAATTCTTTACTTTTTCTACAAAAACGTGGTATGAATATTTACGTATTTGTTGTTTTCATGACAATGTTCTTGCTGTACATGTACGTTGTAATGGGCACAGAATACTTTTTAAAAAGCAATAAAGCCCTTTTTCAACATGCATTTACAATGCCCTTCTAAATCTTTCAATTCTGAAAAGCATAATACTGTATACATGTACAGTAGCTAGAAAATTTTCTGGCCCAAATACATTTTTTTGTTTGCATTTTACGAATTGCCATCAAATAGTTTTTGTGGATTTTATTTTTGCAAATTCACCATGCCTTTTAATTTAAATAGGCGAATAAATAATATTGTGTACCAAAATTTTAAGGATTAAATTTCTGCAATTTTTCAAAATCTGAAAAATTAGCAGAAATTTTGGGCCACAGAAATTTCTAGCTATACGGTAATACATTATAATTTTAACCAAAAAGAATTAACTTTCTACTGGGAGTACATGTACATGTACATGTACATGTAGTTGTGGGAGAGCCCTGCTGTATGGAGGAGGGCCTTTAAATGTTTTACATTCCCCTAGTTACATGTATATGTATTTTACTTCATCTCTCTTTCACTTGTAGATGTACTCCGTTTTATTATTTTGGTTTCAAATTTTTAACGGATTCTCAGGCTCTGTTCCTATTGATGGCGTCAACCTACAGATTTATAACCTTGTCTATACTTCACTTCCTGTCATGGTAGCAGGTACTGCTGATCAGGATGTCAAAGCCACTACTCTGCTCTCTGACAGTTCACTCTACAATGGAGGGAGATGCTCGCGAGTGTACACAAGATCTAAGTACTGGCTTATAATGTTGGAAGCTTTTTATCAGAGTGCTGTTGTGTTTTTTATACCTTATGCTGCGTTGTATGGAGGGGCTATTGGCCTTGTGGAGTTTGGTTTCATCATCAATACAATTGTTGTCATTGTTGCTAGTCTTCATTTGGCCATTGAGACTCTCCACTGGACCTGGATACATCATTTCTTTCTGTGGGGCAGTTGCTTGGTCCTGTTTGTGTTCAATTACGTTTATTGTGCAATCAATTCACAGCAGAGATTTTTGGACACTTACTTTATTATGCAAGTCATATCAACCTTCCCTTCATTTTGGTTTTTGCTGATACTCACACCAATGGTGGCACTTCTACCAAGGTCAGTATTATTATTTATTTATTATTATTTACAGTGCATTATTTCAGACACCATTCAGGCATATACTTATTACAAAAATTATTATCATTTCAGAGGTTACCTCTAAAATGTTAGTTATGTGGTGTGGTGTCCTTATTATATAGAGGTTTCACAATCCGTAGTGTGTTGCTATGCAATCTACTAACAAAATAAATAAATGAGAAATTTGAGTCTGTACTGTACAAATGTTATTTTTAAAATTAAATTTAACCATCATTGTATGTGTCTTTACAATTTCTTTATTTTAACTTTTAGGCTTGTTGGCAAGGTACTCCATCAAGATTTATTTCCTGATACTGTCATGAAAGCAAGGAAGGACGAAAAAAAGAAAGCCAAGAGTATGCCCATTAAAGAAGATTCAGCTTCTGGCCTTTTTGAGGCAGAAATTTCAAATCATCAGGTGACACCATCTTAGTTATGCTATTGCTATCATTTTTAATTATTATTTTTAGTTTTAAATATTTACTACATGTATATACTTTTAATAACAATGAGACAATCTTAATTGTAGGCGCAGAGGCAATAAGAATTGGCCCAAGTGCATACCTACATGTACATGTACATATTGTATATCTACATGTACTACAGGATAGAGATACATGTACATGTACATGTGCATGTACGTGGATTATTAGTTTTCGGCCATTGTAAAATTTTATTGTGAGAATTACAAGTACATGTACACAATGTATGTGTTGGAGTATGTGTTGGTGTACTGATTCATGTCTATGAAATTCACTTCTTTTTCTTTCCACCTTTTCCTCCATCAGTCTCTGCCTCCAGAATATTCAGTCTATCGGTTAGTCTTTTGTCACTCTTGCTGAGCTCTTTTTCAACTGTAACCTACATGTAGTAATTATAATGTGCTTGGTAAAGACAATTATGGCCATTCATGGGATAATTACACGTACATTTGTACACAGGTACTCTAACTCTGGTTCTGCCTGTGTGGTCAAGGGGAACCACTTTGTCACTTAGACTAACTACCATAGGGCACCTTTTTTCGAGGGCTACTGATTTAGTGGATATATAATTCGCTGTATTAAATTTCGCCATTTTTATCCCCAATTCGAATTTTCCACGCCCATAAAATTAATTCGAGAAATTTTTCTACACGAAAAGCAACAAAATCTGCAAAATATATAGCCCTTGAAAAAATGGTGCCCTACGATATGATGCATAAACATGCTATTATAGTCAATTAGTACTGTATACACATGTAAGAAGAGTCAAAGTACATGTATAGTCTCCAACCATTCTTATTACTGCATGGTTATTGTATCATTATTTTTACATGTAAATTAATGGGGCCAGACTTACTTTCATTTCATTAAGTCGTTCTGTTAGTGTTTGTGATATTAAATCTTTAAGTTGTTTTAAGTCATCAGGAATTTCATCTGGTTCTTCTACAATAGTTGCTTCCTCTTCTGTTGTTTCAGCTATGACAAAGTACCAGTAATTATGATGGCTACATATACAATTATTTTGACAATAATACCTTGTTCTTTTTGTTCAATTTCTTCTTCACTCTTAGCTGTATTTATTTTTCCAGCCTCTTCTTGTGATGAAATTGGGTCCACTTCTGCTTCCTTTTGTTCTCCATCTCTATCATAAGATATACTTAAATCAAGGAGGACGCGTTTGGTGAATGCATATTTGTACATCTTGTAGTGTTTAAAGTATGTCTCTAGCAAGTACTCTGTTGTAAGCTTCACTTGGTGAAGACTAAATAAGCATATACTGTATGGTGGCCTGAAGACACTGTGCTTTATGATGAAATCTTTCATCAGTTGATGACACTCCTCAATGTTGTTGTATGGTGTTGAGATACAGAGTAGATGTAGTGTTTTTAATATAGTAAAGAGGGCAGTGAGCTGTTCTGGACTGAATTTGTTCTTTCTACAGAACAGAATCAGATTGTAGAAAAGATCTGTTGTGATTTTGATCCTCATTTCTCCTTCTGTTCCCAGTAAGTTATATAGAAGGCCCCCTGTATGATTGTATATGGTTCCATTGGTTGTCTTTGCATCTAACAGTTTCTCCGCATTTGTATAGTCCAGATCTTCCCATGTACATATGCGAGGAGTAAACAAAGTGGACATTATTTGAGCCTTTGACTTCACTTGCTTAGTTGCTATGTCAACGGGTATCTTTGGGCGTGGCTAGACGATGTGACCACACCCTCGTAGGTTCGTATTATTTTGGTTCATCCTACTGTCCTTTCTAGGACATGATTAAGAAGTTATAGCAGGTTAAGCTCTTGCTCTCCACTTTCTTTTATTTTTATTATGTAGGGCTAGCTTTGAGAAGGCAGGTGGGGCTAGTCTGGCTTGCCAGACCTGGGGCATTTGTCGAATTCTTTTTTTGCAAAGGTACACTAATTATAATTTATTATAAGAAAATGAAAATACTTCACAGCTAGAAATATTGCATGTTTTATTCTGAGTGTACTTAATGACATGTCAATTCACCAAATTTCAAATGTTTCTAAATTATATATAACTCCTTTCCAGCTCAGTACTGAAGGTACAATAAAACTTTTTTCAGAAAAAATATGGAATTAGTTGAATTACTCATGCAGAATCCTTGTCAACATCAAACCTAATACTGATTGATTTATTTAAATGCAAAATTTATGTGCAGCATTTTGATATGCATATACTGATGTTACATCAGTATATGCAAAATGCTGCACATAAATTTTGCATTTAAATAAATCAATCAGTATTAAGATTGTTGCTGATAAGGATTCTGCAGGAGCGATTCAACTAATTCCATATTCAACTAATTCCATATTTTTTCTGAGTGATATCACAGCTATTATTTATGGCCAGCAAGAGTGGATAATTATTTATTATTGGTCAGTTGTATATAGTTTACCATAATGCAAAACATACATGTACAAGAAAATATTAAATACTTTATCATTTTGCTCTTAGAGTAGACATTTTTGCCAAGAGTTTGTCATAATTGCCTTATTATGGTCACATGGACTCTATCCTATCTTTTTGTTTTGTGTCGTGCCTACATTTATAAAAATTATTGTGCACTGCATTCTGTATAGTCTCATGAGCTGAGAGAAGAGAGAATTCTGGCATACATGTTGACTTCTGCTTGTTCTCCTGGAATGTGGAAGTCATGTGGACGTGCAATGGAAGCCATGTGAACAACGGTTATGTCCAGTTACACATGATACAACGTAACTGAGTAAGATGGAATGCCTACATTGGCTGTGCTAAACTGTGGTAACTGCCTAGTCTCTTTTATTAACTATAATATAATTAACTATAATAACCACACATCCTCCATATAAATAATCCTGCAATCATCTAATTCTTCAGTTGTAGTCTTCACTCGTTCGTTCTCTCAAGTTCTCTTCAGTTCTTCTACAATTTGTACATTGGATAGTACTTCAGTTCCATTGGATAGTACTTCAGTTCCATTGGTAGCGTGAGCTACATTGTTCATTCATTTCTTATTGTTTGATTCTATATTGCTTGATTCTATATTATATGCTTCTTTGTATAGTTATCAGTTGTGAATTTCTTATTCTCTTTCTTCCTTTATTCCTACAGTGTGTGTTATCCTTCTTTGTTCATTCCTACTCTTCTTTATTTTTATTGTGTATGTCCTTCTGTCTGTCTCTGTTTTCTTATTGTTTGTAACTGTTTTTATTTTATTGGTTTTGAGACTAGGCAAATATACAACATAAACTTACTCTCTTAGGAGATAGACGTGTTAATTTGTGTCCAGAATAGAATGCCATTTCTTTCTACCCAATATCATCTCTGGACTGATGTAGACTATTTGAAAGCCTCCGTCCCCCCTTCATTGCCTCCTCCTCACTCGACTTGTCATACATGTATGTGTCACTGGTGCATGCTGCTCCTACATTTTGTTCCTGGCAACTCCTCACTTGATCTTTCATTAAACTGTTTAATGGAAATATTACAATTACAATGCTGTGACCAGGAGTTTCCTTCCTCAAGGAATCAAACACCTTAGAGGTAGGATGACGAAACAGTCACTCCTCTTAAACCCTATAGGAAGGCAGGCAAAAATGTCCTTTCCTTTACAGAAGAAAAGAACAGCCTGCTTCTCTTGATCTTACAATAATGGATAACCACAAGATAAGGTAGCATCATGATTACAAAGTTCCAGAGCTTTGTCATCAAGGTGGTCCATCATTTTCTTTATGTAATAGTCATATAATAGTAATGACGATTGTAGTGATGAATATTACATGGTACAATCTGATTGTCCTGGCCTATACGAATGAGCTTTGAGAACAAGCAGAAGTTGACATGTATACATGTCAAATTTTGCTTGTACTCCTCTCCTCCCCCAATCAGGAGTTGGCCCACGAGACTAATACTGTAAGCTTTGGAGAAAAGTTGACATTAAATCACATCTAAGTGTGATGTTTAAATTAACTTATGGCATCCTGATTATAGCCTCAGTAAATGGTTGGTTAACACTTATTTTGCATTGCTCTCACGTAGGTATTGCAAAGTTTTGTAAGTGGCAACATGCAGAATTAGTTACAATGATTAGCTACTATGCTTCTCAAGTCATATGTTGGCAATTAAATGAGATGGATTTTATCATGGATTTTATAATTCTATGCATCTGTCAGTCTGATGGACTATTATAAGAAGGCAAGTATGTTGTGAGGCTCACTAATTCTTTCTTTAGTTAAATTTAGACTCAGTTTTGCACAGTGAATGAATAGTCAGCCATTTACATGATGCAGGCCTTATAATGGGTATCACAGGGTTCCTTGATAAATTTATTTTATTAAATTAACTCTCTAAGCATTCATTATGACTTGATTCACCAAACAATATAAATGAAACTAATCAGTAATTATACTAAACCTAAAGTGTTAAGTAACTTTAATGCTACATGATCACTTGGTACATACTGAGCAAGTAACTGCCTTTGATCCATCATAGGGCCCACAAGGCAGCCCGTTACCGCAAACAACTACAACAAAACTGAAAATTGCTCCGGTTGCATCACTCTGAGTACCAGGAATGGTATCTGGAAGCGAATCAACACATTCATACTTCATATTTTGAACATAGCCAGAAGGGCTTGTCATCAAGTAACCATAGTACTCTCTTGTCCAATCCTCATGACATGAAGTTTTGCCTGGGACCATGACTAAAGATGATCTCCTCTGTGAATGACAGACTGCACATGGAACATTTTTAAGGTTTGTAGCACCAGTAAATACTTGATTGTTTGTCATAAACTCAGATCCATATAAGTATGATGTGACAGAGATTTTTGTATCATTCAGATATTGTGGATCTTTCGGTGCACAAAGATAGTTTGCACCATTGCCTGGTCGATTATGAGGCCCACCTGCAGCATATCCATTATAAAGCATCACAGCTCCATTTGATGGGCAGGTGAGTTTACCCCATCTGACATACACAGCACCAGCTTCAGCATCATTCTCTTCTTCAGGTGGGACAACAACTGTGATGTCTTTTGCTTTAGTTATACCTTGAGCTCTACCTGCATTAAGTATTTATAAAAGAACTGTCAATTAGCTAGCTACCTTGCAATATGTTCTTCGTAAAGCATACAAAGATGAAAAGGAACACTAGTCTTCCCATTTTAACTTTATGTGGGAAAAGATGTATATTAACACTAGTAACTTCTTTTTATGTACAGCTAGCTACGATTTCCTGAATCACCTTGCATATAAAAATCATTACAGTTTAATTTAAATCAAATTAGATATACTTGCTTTTGTAATTTTTTGTAATGTAAATTATACACAATCTATAAATAAACACAACCCATGCAGTCTAATTGATATTGATTATCAAGTTAATGCTCTAATTTATAAGCAATTACCTACCTTGTTTGTTGTTTTAATTTCTCGTTAGCTAATTCATGTTATTTCAGTGGTTTTGATTCATTAATTAATTTATACATGCCAAGTTCACCATTGTTACAACCACAGCTGATGTTACAAAACTTTTAATAATTATTTATAATTATATTTTTTAATAAACCAATCTAATTGCAGATTATTGTTCTAAGAAATATGATAATATCTGAGTGTCTAACAAAAATTCCTATGATCTAATATTAGTTTATAGTTTCTGTATCATTTTGTACAAATTACACACGAAACAGCTTTTCCTGCCTGGTAAGGACCACATGGTAGTCCCCTATTGCATTGTCTCAAAGCTACAAAGTAGAACAAAGCACCATTAGTATCTTGTGATGTCCCAGGGATGCCATCAGGATCAAAATCAAGGCATTCATAAGCAACATTTCTCTGATGATTATATTTTTCTGCTGTCAAATACCCATAGTATTCACGATTCCAACCTGCTGGACAATTAACCATTGTAGGAATCATAAGTGCAGTAGACTTGGTTGGAGCATTGCACACTACACATGGTACATTGTAATCATGAACATTTGTGGCAAAAATTTTTGAATCATATGGCTGGTATTCAGCACCATACAAAAGAGATCTAGTTCTAGGTGCAGCGGAACTCAGATATTCAGGATCTGTAGGCATGCAGAGGTAGTTAGCACCATTTCCTTTCTGATTAAAGAATCCACCTGCAGCATATCCAGAATATACTAGGTTGCTGCCAGACGGGCAGCAAGCCTTTCCCCATCGAGTGAAGCTAACACCCCTACCTTCCATTGAAACATGACGTGGGATTGTAATAGTAATGCTTCGAGTGTCTTTAGCAGTTTCTGCAACTGCAATCATATAATTAATATAAGTGTAAATTAATGAAAAATACCTGATAGAGTGCTGCTAGCATTGTTAAATGTGATGACAAAGACACATACTAAAAGGAGAGCCTTGGTACACATTTTAGTGCTTAAACTCATGTGTATTGCTTGAGAATAAGAAAGTGCTTTATATTTATGCCATGTAATTACTTCCTTCCTTTGGCTAATTATGATGACTCAATATCAAGAGTATATAATCTTGATATTGAGTATTGAGTCATCATATTAGTGAGGGTTTTTTAATACTGTTGATATTATGTAAAATATAGTCACATGCACACTCATGTATATATTAGGATGTGCATGCATGGATGCATGATTGTTGGCATAAATATTAACATTTCAATATTTTGCTGCATAAGATTAAATCTATGCTCCAAATAATTTTAACCAAGCTTAGTTTATTATTCATGCACATTCACTTTCATTTCTATTGTTAAATAATGTAATTATTAAATAATTATTTGCAAAAATCTACTGAAAAATATTTTAACTATCTTGGCTATTATCAAAATGTTTCATGTAGAAATGTTATTCACTTAGTACACACAGCACAAGTGAGAGCCTGCTGATTAACATATGGACCACATGGAAGCCCATGATTTTCACACCTTGCTTCAGTAAAGTAGAACAAAGTACCGTCATGATTAGGTGTTGTATTATCAATGCCAATAGCATCAACATCAACACACTCATAGTATTGATTGTTGACATGGTCACGGAATGATGTCATTAGATATCCATAGTATTCTCTAGTCCACGATTCTGGACAAGATATTTTAGCTGGTATCATAAGCTTAGCTGTTTTTTGAGGTGCAAAACAAACTGCACAAGGAACATTTTTGTTTTGCAAATCTTTTCTAAATATAGCTTTGCCTGGAGCATGTGTTTCATATTCTGCCCCGTCTAGATAAGATACGGCCCATGCAGGATCTATTTTTTCATTACTCGGGTATTGTGGTTCGGTAGGCAAACAAAGACGACTAGCAGCAGATCCCCACTCATTATAAAATGGGCCAGCTACGTAGCCCACATAAATTGATCTTGCTGGTGAAGGACAGCATGACCTTCCCCATCTGATGTATGTCACTCCACCTCCTTGAGTAGGTCCTCGTGGGATTTTGATTGTAACACTTTGATTTTTATCTGTTTGATCTAAATATCAATCAAAGGCATCACAATTAAGTATGATATTTGGTTTAGGTATAACCTTACAAGACACAAAAGATATATCTTGCCCAAGGTTTGTTGAAACTAAAATAAATATTATTTATAGTAATTCATAGTTTTAAAATGTAAGATTGATTTACCTGAGTCAGAAGAGCAATAATTGCATTTTATTAACATTACCAGGAAGCAAGAAAGTAGAATAGACCTTAGGAAATCCATTGCATGCAATGTGAATTAAAGGTAACCAATGATGTATGTGTAAAAAATTTCTTCCTTATAAAGTACATAATACTTCCTGTCATGCACATCCTGTTATAATGTCACTCAGCTGTGAGTTGCGACACATTATGGTCATTGTATAGTTATAGTATCAGAACTTATAACATTACAAGCATAATAGTCATACATAATCCAAGTCAATTTGTTTCACTTTATTCATGCAGTTGAAAGCCAGATATACCAATTAAGTACTTAAATGATTGGAATTTGACCAAAATATGTCTTTATAATAAAAAAGTGAAAATTTTTGTCATGCTCAACTTTGTGTAAAAAATTTTTTAAATTAAATAAAAGTTTCAATTTTTTATCAAACTTACAGCACTTTTCATAGTTACAAGATGGATTAGAAAAAAATTAAACTTGATCTTCAGAAGCCCAGCCTATAGTGTGTAGTGGGATGGATGAATGTTACGTACTTGATGAAATTTTCCAATCTAAATATAATTATAGATTGTTAAATTTATTTTGCAAGTATTACAAAAACAATTTACTCTGATTGCTTGTTTTCATTTTAGCAAAATAAACTAATATTATGCTAATGAATATATAGGTTGGTCATATTCATGCTATAACGACAAAAGACTAAATAGTCATTGATTATAAGAGTAACTTATATGTGGCAAATGAAATGCAACTAGATGGTAGTTCTAGACAGCTAGTCTCACTAGCCAGACCATTCCCCAGCCTACAGTCTACTAGTCAGATGGCACATGAGACTACAGCCAAACTTGCTATTGTGGGCAGTCTACAATAAAGACATCTAATCAGGACAAGTAGTACATGTATCAGTCCCAATACAATATGTGCTCTGAAATAATCCATAATCATGACAGTAGTAGATCTCAAGGTAATTGGAATATAGAAAAATTTGACTGCAGATAATGCAACTTCAGTCATTAAGAACTGGAGGCTAATAAACATCAAAGTCAGATTAAAAGCAGTGACAACCTTGCCATTTGGCTGCAGGATATGACATTTTACCAACTTTTTTAATTTGGCTGGAGCTACAATACCGAGCGATCGTAAGATGGATGGCTTTGACCTTGCACCTATCCTATATAATAAACAAGAGTAAGAGTAGAGAGAGAGAGACTGCAAATCTATAATGTCCTCTTCTTTTCATGCAATGTAGACTGAAAGAACAATAATACCATACTTCCCTGAAAATACTGATCCCAGTATAGGCCCTTAAGATGGAAGCACTACAAAGCTCATTTCTATACAAAAGGGTATGAGCATAAAATATAGTAATAATACTCTGTATCTAGCTTTTAACCTAATCAGAAGTGATACTTATAGGGTTGATAATTTAACTATGAGATTTAAATAGTGTTTTTTATTTTCTTCTCAGTGGTGATTCTCCTCCTGATCATTATGATGTTCTGTGTCGGAACACAACCGAACTAACAGCACACGATCCTCCTCTCCCCTTTAACCTCTGACTGATCCAGGAGAGAGAGATCCACTGACTGCATGAAAATGATTCAATGTAGTATTACCTTCTTGAGAAGATGGAAGAGGTAATATGTAGCAGACATGGGGTTGAATTTTTTTATGAACTTTTAAAGTTGCTCTGAAATCGGGATTAAGCTTTGTACAAGGTCATTGACCAAATTTCATCAAAAATAAAAAAAAAATTGCATTTTAAACTACATTTTCTGATGCATATGCATGTACTTACAATTTGTAGAAAGTTTGACTGAATCCTGATCAAAGTTGAATTTTTTACAAACTTTTAAAGTTGTTCCAAAATCGGTCCAAAGTCCCTGTACAATGGCCAAATTTTGCCTGGAGAGAATTTGTGCCATTTTACTAATTTTTCTGATACATAATACATGTACTTTAGTTGCAATCTCTCACTCTAATTTACATTTATAGCTTTGTACTGACTTTATGAATGACATGGAGTGGCATACTTCTTTTGAAGAAGATGGGGAAGATGATTCCATCAGAACTTGTCATAATTATAGTTCTTTGTTTTGCTATCATTAATTTATGGACTTTTATTATTTTGTTTATTCAAGTATCATGCATGTATTAATTATCATCCACTCGAAAAGAAGAGGAATTAGAAAAGAGTGAAAGGATGTACATCAACACACTACTATTACTAATAATAATAATGATTATACCAAAGGAAAGTAGCAATTGGAGGCCATCATCAGTCTAAAATGATGACAATGATCCAGTACAATAGACACTATGCTACTATGAAGAGTATATACTATTAACCCTAAAGTGTGAACATACACATGAAGCCATAGAAACAAACTGCTGCCACTTACAATTGGTTACTGCATGGCCTTCACTATGTCAAATATTATCTCTGCACCCACCACATTCAGCACAAAAGATATGCAATTTACAAGCATGGACAGGAGAAAAAACTCAGCATTTTTGTCAGCTTTAATTAATTATGTAATTAATAAAACTACTCTAAGTCTCTAACCTGAACCAATAATAGTAGAAATTGATCTCAAATATCCAATCTTTATTTTTGATTATTTTTTTAAGCATCTCATTTAAACTCAGAGCTCAATTCAGTCAGATGTGCTCGCTGATGGCTCATTAGTTGTAACAGCTGAATAGGCAGGCAATGACTGCTGCTCTAGACTAGATTTAAATAGCCATTATTAAAAATTAAAAATATTAAAAAAAATTAAATTAGCAAAATATTGAAGAGTCATATTGTTTGTTTTTTTATAACTCACTTGCTTCTTAAGTAGTGCTTCACTTGACATGTCATCTTTATTTCAACTTGAACCTATCAATGATAATATTAAGATTTGCTATGAGCAGTTACTATTAGTATAGTCTTGTCATATTCTTCTTGTAGTGCTCTTAGCATCACTAGCAGTAGTAGCCACTAGTGATCCCAGGCAGCACCACGTAGAGGTGGCACTACATTGCTGCCCAACCTGTAATGATAGTTAACAATCATATTGACAACTAACTGAATAGACTTCAACTTTTAACTGGAACTTGATAAACAAAGAGAAAGGTTAATACATGACAGTACTAATATTGTCCAAGTATAAATACATGTATTTTACTCAATATAGGTACCCTTTACCTTAGAGATTAATGTTAGCATAACTTAATGAATTAATTAGGGCAAGCCAAAGGAAGCAACACACTCCCCTCTGTTTATGTTAACAGAGTGTGTTGCTATTCACTCAGTCCCAATTAACTTAATAATTTATACTTATGATAGTATATTGAATGAGGTTGAATAACTAAACTAATAAACTGCTGATTGATTAGAGTAATCTGATTAGTCAATTGCAATACATTGATACAGCAGCTAGGCCGTGACTGAATTCCCAACTGATAAGATATACTTTGTGTTTATACCTACTAATCTGTCTTTTCTAATATTCATCATTCACTGGCCATTTGTTGATTCAATACATCAGTAATCATGGCTACTAAAGTGTGTTAATAGTAAAATATTTTCATTGACATACTGCATTGTAATGTAGTGTTGCCTTGTGAGGAAAGAACTCAATGTTATTTACATACTTTACATAGTTTGTTGATATGGCTATTGCCGAGTTGTTCTCCCTAGCTGTTGCAAATTGTTCTTCACAGCTGCTGCGAGTTGTTCTCCCCAGCTGTTGCATGCATAAATCATTCCAGCCATGCAAACTATTTTACATGTATTATATTGGTAGAGTATGCTATTGTATTATAATAATATTTTTATGTGTATAGATTTAACATTGTGATTATGTGTAAAACTAATTCATTCTAGTGCATTTACAGGGTAAGGAAATGTATATGGCTGCTTACTGTATGTAAAATTGTTAGCCTTTTCCTAGTGTTTCAAAAAGAAGTATATTGGAGTTTCATTAACAATTAAATGGAACAAAACAATTTGATTGTCAGGTCAGTTTTGATGATTTAGAATTTGTGGCTGAATGTTCTAAAACTATTTGAGTTTAAAGCTAGTGTTAAAGTTAACAAGATACAAAATAAGTGTATCATCAATCTATCTCCTTTAAATTCTGCTTACTTATCATTATTCTAAATTTAGACTCCTTCTGTAATACCATTTATGACTTGTTTGTTATTTGTGTGATTGTGTGAGTAGTTTATTTAGTTTTACTTCCAACTATTGTATGTAGTGATAGCTATTACTCTAAACTTTGTGCATGATCCTGTGCTTAGTGTTTTTGTCATGACAGTTGACGGTAATTGTGTTATAGTATAAAGGCTGTTTTGCTCTATCATTCAATTATGATAGTCCTAATTATACTCAGCACAAAGTTTAGGACAATAACATGTTTTTAACAATAGGACTACTTCAGCTGTTTTGACATAGGATATCGCGATAGCAAAAATATCATGAAAATCTTTTTGTGAAAATTAATTTTAATTTTTTATAATTTAGCATACTATTTATGTGGAGTAAAAATTTTGCCAATAAAAATTCTTGTTACACCAAAAGCCCAGATAAATTTGACAAAATTTTAATAAACAAAAATTTGGAGCTGTATGGTACAAATGTAGTTTATTTATTATTGAAATCTAATTTAAGAGCAAAAACAAGCTGAAAACCAGAAACAAAAATAAAAAATAAAAACCAAAGAACAAAAAACAACAACCAAAAAACAAAAAACAACAACCAAAAAACACAAAGCAATAATAAGATTACTATTGCTATTAGTATGAAGCAAAGCTTAAAAAGGAAGGACTATAGTACAACAACAGAGCCTAGCTGGGAAAGAAAACAATCAAAAAATAATTAATAAAATAAATAATATCAAAAAATGAAAGCATAAGTTTATTATTACTTTTATTATTATTATTGTTATTATAAGTATAAATAATGTATTATTATTTGGGTCGCCACATCATGAGATATTCTGGAGAGGCTTTGAGTACGACTTATTTAATTCAGAGGCTGTTCAGAGGGGTAATGCAGCTCTCGTAATGGACACTTTTTTGCCATTCTCCTCTGACTCTATTCTATTTCATTCAGATGTCAATATAATATTATCATTTCTTCTTTCTGCCTTTTCCTTTTCTTTCCTTTCCCTTCTTGTTCTCCTCCTCAACTCTACTAACCTATCCTACTCTACTAAACCTTCCTACTCTACAATTATTGTTATTATTATTATTATTATTATTATTATTATATTATATTATTATTTTATAGTTTGGCATACTATCTATATAGAGCAAAAATATAACACAGTAAACATATGCAATGTACTGGTAATGTTTTCCACTCTAGTCTATTCCATATGTAAGCAGTGACTTCATTCTCTTAGTTTTCTATTCAGTTGTAGACTTAACTTGCTAGTATTGGAGAATGAGGAGGAGAAGCAAAAAAGCAGAGAAAATGACTTCAAGAGTGGGCTGAGAAGAGAAAGAGGAAACTATTCTTGGGTAGGCACTTGGCAGATAATAGCCCACGTGTTCCCACGTGTTAGATAATAAGTGGGTGGATCTATGGTTATGGTTGTACGTCTATATAAAGCTAAGCTTCTGATCTAAGGGAGGGCACCCTTCACTCTTTCGAATTTCAGTAGGACTAGCTAGTATTTGGAATCCAGCTGCTGACATTAAGTAATACCTTACAAAATAGTCCGTGTCGGAGACCCTCGGCTCTGAGCCAGCTTAGTATAGCCAGCGGATGGCTGCAAAACCTCGTGATGATGTTGTTCTAGAGTTGGATGTAAGCTGTTTACTTTCTTTACAAATTGTCTATCTTCTTTTTATTTGTTATCTTTTTATCATACCCATTATGGTATTATTAACTCAAACAACCGGCAGCAACATTATCATAATTATAGATTATTTCTGATATTTTCATTTTCCGAAATAAAATATTTTGAGCCCTTGCAGATTGTTCTGCAATTTATACTAACTTCCCTCTCACGCTCTATGTCTCTTCTCTTTTTTCTATTTCGCAGGAACTGCACGCTTTCTCTGAATTTCTGGGAGGCCTAGGTGGTCCTAATAGTGGGCCATCTTTACACGAGCTTCTGGGAGGCCTAGGTGGTCCTAATAGTGGACCATCTATACAAGAGCTTCTTGAAGGCCTAGGTGGACCTGATAGTGGGCCATCTATACAAGAGCTTCTGGGAGGCCTAGGTGGTCCTACTAGTGGGCCATCTTTACATGAGCTTTTGGGAGGCCTACGTGGTCCTAATAGTCGGCCATCTTTACACGATTTCTCTGAGTTTGTGGGAAGCCTCGGTGGTCCTGATATTGGTGGTAAATTAAATATCTACCTTGTATAATATTTATCTTAATAATAATATTATTATTATGAATAATTAGTTATAGTTTGTGTGTGTAAATGCATAACTTTATATTGTTGTTTGGTAATTTGCTAGTGATTCTTCATTAAATCATTAATGCTCATACTCAGTAATGCATGTGTACACAAAAAATCACCAAATTAAAAACCGCCAATTACATTTAACAGCAAAATTGAAGCTGATATACAATAATTACTGTAAAATTATAGGGTATAAAATTTGGAATGACTCAGTGTCAATTTTGCTTACACGGATTTACATCTTTTTAGATCAGTCATAATTATTGTTTTACATGTAATATCAAGAGTACTCTATGATATATCATAACCTGATAGAAAGTACTGTTTTTTTTCTTTTTTTGAATGTTGTTTCAAAACAATGTTGTTTCAAAACAGTGCTCCTTACCAACTGGTTTTGTTGGCTTCATACAACTGAAACAATGGGCAATATTTTTGTTTTCACATTCAGACATTAGCTACAATGACCCCCAATGCCCTAGACATAGAGCAGCAAGTTATAAAAATGTTTAGTGCATATAGTTCTAGCTTTCCACAAATCTGGGGCTCCTGATGTTACTTTTCCTCTTTATGTCAAACTTATATGAGCATTATTAATGTAATAGTCAATGCATAATAAACATTATAAGTTTTACCGTATACTGGAAAATTTTCGAGTAGCCAAATTTTCACAGATTTCACGTTTTCTTGCTCCGTTGCAATGAGGAACATTTTACATGTACATAGCCTATAGAAGTGTGTGTTTATACTACAGTGTACTAGCATTGAACTTCAAAGTAAAGGAAGGAATCCTTAGGAGTTTAGTTAGATGATTACATATGCATACAACTCTCTCACTCTTTCTTGGTTACTATAATTATATCAGTAATTGACCACCAGTGTGAGTAGACTAATGACATCACTACTCCGTTGCGAAAATAAGAAACGTGAAATTCTAAATTTTCATTGCCATGTGGTGGAGTTTACAAGAAATATTATTTTGTGAAATCTTACAAATGCAAAATTCGCGAAAAGTTAGCAACACAATGCAAAAATATCCCAGTATATGTACGGTATTATTTATTAAAATCAAATGCAACTATATAGGTCATATAATACTTAATGTACCAATAAAAATGCTCAGACATAATTATACAACACTTCTCTTTATTTGGCTACTCTGAATGAGTCTTTATCCTTAATTTTACAGATGAACTTGGTCCCATTACACCACTCCACATAGCCTGTTTGATGAATAACTCTGATCAAGTTGTTGAGTTATTATGTGACAAAGAAACGGATATCTCTGCTACTGATAAAAATGGATCTACACCACTTCATTTGGCTTGTCAGGCTGGGAACAAAGAAATAGTTGAGCTTCTTATTCTTGAAACAACTAATCGTCTTACATCTGCTTTCCATGAAAATGATGCTCACTCTCAAATTGAATCTTATTTCAATCTCACTGATAACCATGAAGTAAGAGACATGGTAGTTATTACATGTTTCTGTTACTATCATTATTGTTATTATTACTATTATTGTTATTATGTAGAACACACCACTTGGTATTGCCTGTATAGCAGGGCATACAGAAATAGTTGATTTACTACTGAAGCAGAATATAGTTAGAATCAATCACATTAATAGCCAAAAAGTAAGAAATTGTTTATTATTATTATTTTGAAACACACTATAATCCTTGATTTATGACATTTATAATTATATTATTATTGTTATCATGTTAGCGTACTCCACTTGGTATGGCGTGTATACAAGGACATACAGAAATAGTTAAACTACTACTGGAGTGTAAAGCTGATGTCAGTATCACTGATGAAAATAAAGTAAGAAAATTATTTTAGTAATTAATTTTAGACAATAATAATGCAATTAATCTAATTATAACAATACACGCACACAAAGAATGTAATAATATAATAATGATAATAAAGTAAAATAAAAAATTAATTATTAATATTAAGTATAAATTCATTATTTTAGTAATCGTTTTTATAGCTATAATGCTTAATTGACTTTCAATCTACTGTACACAGTGGTGTAGTGATAGTTCTTCAGGCTGCTTGATCTTTGTCATTATTATTATTATTAGTAGTAGTAGTAGTAGTAAAGGTTATACAATGAAGCAAAGTATCTATGGCATTTATCATACCTTGGGCCGTAGGCCCGAGGTAGTCTTGTGTAGCCAGACCACGCCCTTTGTATGGAGGGATGAGCTGGCTATGCGAGACTACAGGCCAGAGGCATGATAAATGCCATTGGTACTGACTATAACCAATTTCTACCATGTAGTCAAATAAACAACTAGTTTACTTAGCAACACTTAGCAACAGCATGCCTATTTTAAGCAGGAGGTTAATAAAGCCACTTATTCTTAAGTAGATCGACAAATATTTGTGATTTGTTAATGGTATTGATTTAGCGTGCACTAATTTTCACGATTTTGTTCTTTTTTTCAATTAATAACTATTAATAAATCTAAATTATTAATAAATGCGAGTACTGATTTTTACAATTTTAAAGCCACTTGCAAAAAACTCAAAAATTAGTACTCGCAAATAATAGTGGCTTTAAGGTAATTTCCTGGGCTATTTATTAACCTCCTGGGGCACTTATTGACCTCCACCTGTCCAGGAATTTACTTATTAACCTCTTATTACCCAGGAAATTACTTATCAAACCTCCCAGTGGTAAATAAGTTATTTATGAACCTAAAATCAAACAATCTGATTGGTCAATTGCAACTAGGCATGGTAGAATTATTATTATTATTATTATTATTATTATTATTATTATTATTATTATTATTATTATTCTTATTATTTTTATTGTTATTGTTATCATGTTAGCGTACACCACTTGGTATGGCGTGTATACCTGGACATAAAGAAATAGTTAAACTACTACTGAAGTGTGGAGCTAATGTCAATGTCACTGATAAAAATGGAGTAAGAGACATTAGAGTGACATAATTACCGTACAGTGCTGCTGGAAATATTTGCAGAGAAAAGAGGACTAAATTTTGTGTTTGAAACTGCAAAATAGCATGACCACAGTACATTATGCTACAATAACTGTCAAAACCACAAAAAAATTAATCCGCAAACCAAGCTATTTAAAGGATTCGCAAAATTTTTCTCCGCAAAATTAACAGGCTGTACGGTAACTATTAAACAAACTAAAGTCAGTAATACATGTAGTAGCAGCGGGGCCATTATTGCTGTTATTATTATATTATTATTATTATTTTTAGTATTATTATTAGTATTATTATTATTATGTAGCTTACACCACTTTGTAATGCCAGTATACCAGGACATACAGAAGTAGTTAAAATACTACTGGAGCATGGTGTGGCTAATGTCAATCACCCTAATAAGGACAACGTAAGAGACATGATAATTATTTATTATATTTCCATGCTGGTGTCAGTGACACTGGACTTGTGTCTCTACTTTGGCTAGAGGCAACAATTAGTTTGAGTTATTACTCTGTAGGATATACCACTTGGTATGGCTTGTGTAGGAGGACATAAAGAAGTAGTTGAGCTACTACTGCAGAAAGGAGCTAAAGTCAATCATGTTAATGAACAAAAGGTAAAAGACACAGTAATTAATAAGTTGTTGTTGTTATTATTATTATTATTATTATTATTATATTATTACTACTACTATAGCAGACAGAAAGTATGATATAACACCACACACAAACACTCACAATAAAACACTTATTGTTACAAAAACAGGTTACAGGCAAAAGGCCAGAAACAGACTACAGATTGTACTACACCATCTACTATTATTATTATTTTTATTATTAATATTATGATGTAGTTTACACCACTTGGCATGACTTGTGTACCAGGACATACAGAAATAGTTAAAGTACTACTGGAGCATGGAGCTATTGTCAATGTCACTGATAAAGATAGTGTAAGAGACAAAATTTTTAATTGTATTATTGAGAGACTTATTACGTTTTTGCTGGGAGATTATTATTATTATATTATTATTATTATTATTATTATTATTATGAAACAAGAGCAAAACCAAGCACAAACAAAAACCAAAGACCTATTATTATTATTATTATTATTATTATTATTATTATTATTATTATTATTCTGTAGAATGCACCACTTGGTATTGCCTGTGCACAAAAACATACTGAAATAGTTAAACTACTACTGAAGCATGATGGAGTTGATGTCAATTACCTCAATAAAAAAGGAGTAAGAGATGTATTATAGTAATTGTTACTATTATTATTATTATTATTATTGTTATCATGTTAGCGTACACCACTTGTTATGACCTGTATAGCAGGAAATACTGAAATAGTTGAACTACTACTGGAGCATAAAGCTGATGTTAATATAGCTGATGAGGACAATGTAGCTAAGAGACATAATTATTAATTTTTTTTATAATTATTATTATGTAGGATACACCACTTGGTATTGCCTGTCATGAAGGTCATACAGAAATAGTTAAATTACTACTGAAAAATGGAGCTGATGTCAGTCGAACTAATGATAAAGGAGTAAGAAATCAACATAGAAATTATTAGTCATTATTATTATTATTATTATTACTATCAACAACGACAACGACAAACAGCAATAAAAATAAATAACAAAGCAAAGCAGGATTATTATTATTATTATTATTATTATTATTATGATTATCATCATCATCATTATCTAGTGTACACCACTTGCTATGGCTTCTATAGGAGGACATAAAGAAGCAGTTAAACTACTTCTGGAGCATACTAAATATGATCCCAATGTCATTGATAGTCTTAAAGTAAGAGACATTTGAGTCACTTCCTATGGTTAAAATTATTTTGGTTATCATACTAATAGTAGTTAAGCAAGCTTATAATAATGTCAGATACAGTTAACCAATTATGTAGATTCACAGCTCTAGAGAACCTCATTATTAACACGGTAGCGTTACTAAGTAGGATTAACCCCACTTCAAAATGGCTGCCATGACTTTTGCAGCCTTGCTATTTACACATTGGCTTACCCCTTAATTTTTGTACCTGTCTAGCTATTATTACTATGACTATTATTATATTATTTTCAATTGTTATTATTATTATTATTATTATTATTATTATTATTATTATACAATGGAAAAAAACCTTCATTAATGCATACATTAATATAATTATTAATGCACAGTAACAAGTTAAATGAGCCCATCAACAAAAGGAGGCAAGCGGGGATTACGAGTGGCCCACATATTATTATTATTAATATTATTATTATTAATATTATTATTATAAACAAACAAAACAAAGAAAGAAAGAGCGAAAGAATTAACTACTATTGTTATAATAGAAGCATGCAATTACTACAGTTATTATTATTATTATTATTATTATTATTATTATTATTATTATTATTATGTAGAATACACCACTTAGCAATGCCTGTTTAAGAGGATTTACAGAAATAGTTGCAGTACTGCTGAAGCAGGATGGAGTTGATATCAATCACACTAATAGTCAAAAAGTAAAAGACATAATAATAATAATCATCATCATCATCTTCATATTAGCGTACACCACTTGGTTGTGCCTGTATAGAAGGGTATACAAAAATAGTTAAACTATTACTGGAGCATAGAGCTGATTTCAATATCACTGATGATAATAAAGTAAGAGGAATATTTTTGGCATTATTATTATTTATTTGTTATTATTATTTATTATTATTATTATTATTATTATTATTATCATTATTATTAAAAGAACAATAATATCATGCACAAAATTATTGTCAAGATGGTTTAGAAAATAAAATAAAAATGAAAATAAAAAATTGAAGTACGTAATGAAATAAGTTGGAGAAATAAGTTAGAAATAAACTATAATTAAGTTACAAATAGTATGACATTGAGGGATGTAAGGAGCACCGTCTTCAATATTCGCAGAATGAAATTTAGACTTGCTATCTTGCAAACATAGGTCAGTGGCCCTCAGTAATGCTAAAATTCATTCATACTCTCAACCAATGAATTACAATACTGTAAGGCCTTCCCCATTTGACAGCAAGAAAGTCACCCAATCTATCCAAAAATGATTTTGCTTCAGTCCCCATTAGCCCATCAATAGAAAAACAGAGAGGGGTGAAAGTAACACCTCTATCAGTTCTCTTCTTCTCTCTTTCTGCTGTTGCCAGTATTGACTGCGGTGGACGATGGAGATAAGACTTAGCTTCAGTATCCAAGACACACACATCAAAGCCTGTCTCTGCCAAACTCCATGTATAGCAATATCAGCAACAAAAGAGCTGTCACCAGAATCAAATTAATATTATTATTATTATTATTATTATTATTATTATTATCAACAAAACAAAAAAAGGACTAAGAAAAGAAAAAAGAGAAAATGTGACCCTAAATAATAAAAATTAGTTATGGAAAAAAACCATCAATGATAGATGAAACAGTAGGGGAATGGCCAAGCCACATGTGAGCATTGAACTGCCATAAAGTTATAGAAAGGTGCTGAAGAAGGTGGTACGTGAGTGAGGTCAGAGGAAGGGAGAACCGCACAATGCCAAGATGATGCCCAATGGCTTGGATGGTTATTATTATTATTATTATTATTATTATTATTATTATTATTATTATTATTATTATTATTATTATTATTATTATTATTGTTGTTGAAAGACAAAAAGCATAATACAACACAACACACTGATTATTATTATTATCAGTATTATTATTATTATTATCATCATGAAGAGAAAAACAAACAAATACCATTGTCATTGAATTAGAATTTGTGAATTAATTAGTTAGTAGGTTATTAGCTGTTATTGTTACTGTTGTTATTATTGTTATTGTTATTATGTTAGCGTACACCACTTGGTATGGCGTGTATAGAAGGACATACAGAAATAGTTAAACTACTACTGGAGTATAAAGCTGATGTCAATGTCACTGATAAAAATGGAGTAAGAGACATAAAATTTGAATAATTGTTAAACAAACTAAAGTCATTAATGCATGTAGTTAAACAAACCTATTTATTATTGGGGCTTAGAAGTGCAGCTGAGCCATAATTACTGTTATTATGAAATCATAGGAATAATGTTAAATAGAAGCATTTATTATTATTATTATGATTATTTATTACTATTGTTATTATTATTAGTGTTATTATTAGTATTATTATTATGTAGCTTACACCACTTGGTAATGCCAGTATACCAGGACATACAGAAATAGTTCAACTACTACTGGATCATGGTGTGGCTAATGTTGATCACCCTGATAAAGACAATGTAAGAAATATAATAATACTGCAGTTTTGTTGTGGTTTTGTGGTTTGGGGAACTTGCAGTGTAACCAAGATTAATTTTGCCTTTTTGCATGCATAGATGGGTTGTATTTTTCTTGCTTCATTCGATTTAAAAGACACTGTTGTCTTTGCTGTAGTCACTCTGGAAGTGCTGTAATAATTAAGCATCAAGCTATCATACTAGAAAATTTCTATTATAACATTTTGATGCATGCTACCACAGCAGTTTCAGTTATAATGCAATGCACAAAAAGCAAATGTCATTCATATATATGCATACCAGTAGATTGCATATGGAATAATTCAATCATGACCTGTAGTAGGCTTTACCCTAAATCACAAAGTCATTGAAATGTCATTCCCTTTTAAGCCAAAAATAACCTTTTATCTAATGTTATTGTCCTGTAGGATACACCACTTGGTATGGCTTGTATAAAAGGGCATAAAAAAGTAGTTGAACTACTACTGAAGCATGGAGCAAATGTCAATGTCACTAATGAACAAAAAGTTAGAAACACAGTAATTAATAAGTTGTTGTTGTTATTATTATTATTATTATTATTATTATTATCATTATTATTATTATTATTATAAACAGCAAGAATGGCTTAACCAAAATCCCCCATAAAAGAAAAAAATGAGCATCCAAAAAACAAAAAATCCTAATAATAATAAATAGTAAAAAAAAGACAGTTACAGTTGAATGACCCACTGGAACAATAGGACTGTGGGTAGTCCACATGGAGGCATTCCCTCTCCAAAGAGCAACTGAGTGCCATAATGGCAGGGTCATATGACCAATCCTTTGAACCTATAAAAATTTGAAATGCTTTCAAAATTTTTGTGTCATTTTTGCACAGGGGCCATGCTAATCTTCTCTGTATCATTCCAATTTTAGTATAAACTGTAATGCAATACATTATTATTCTTATTATTATTATGTAGCATACACCACTTGTTATGGCTTGTAAAAGAGGACGTAAAGAAGTAGTTGAACTGTTGCTGAAACAGGATGGAGTTGATGTTAATGCCACTGATGAACGAAATGTATGATCATTAATACTTTAAAATTATTATAATTATTGTTATTATTATTATGTTAGCGTACAGCACTTGGTATTGTCTGTCATAAAGGACATACAGAAATAGTTAAACTACTACTGAAGCATGATGGAGTTGATATCAATCACACTGACTTTAAGGGAGTAAGAGACATATTATAGTATTGACATAGTATTATTGTTATGTAGAATACACCACTTGGTAATGCCTGTTTAAAAGGACATACACAAATAGTTGAACTGCTACTGAAGCATGGTAAAGATAAAATCAAAAACACTAATTACAAAACTGTGAGTTAATTATGATAATGATGATGATAATAATTATGATTATTATGTTAGCGTATACTACGTCGTATGGCCAGAGCAGAAGGGCATAAAAAGCAGTCTGAAAAAGTTACTATTAATCACAAAAATGAGGAAAATGTAATTGTTATTACTAGTATTATTATTATTATTATTATTATTACTACTATTATTACTGCTATTATTATCATGCTAGCGTACACCACTTGGTATTGCCTGTCATGAAGGACATACAGAAATAGTTAAACTACTACTGAAGTATGGAGCTAATGTCAATATCACTAACAAGGACAGTGTAAGAGACATATTTATTATAATATAAAGTGAAAACAGAAACAATAAGGCACAACAAGATAAACCTGATAATATTGCTTTAAGGCAAGAGCTAATCTTTGCTTAAAATGGTAACCAATTGTCTGCTGAATTGGTATATGGGTAGAAAGTTGTTTGGAATCCTACTTGCCCTCATTTCCATTATTTTTTGATGAAGAAGCACAGAGTAAATCCTACTTAATTTTTAAAATTTTTATATTAGTATTTATTATTATTATCATGTAGTGTACAGCGCTTCAAATTGCCTATATGCGACAGCATACAGAAATATTTGAACTACTAATGGAGCATGGAGCTAATGTCAATGTCACTGATAAGGAAAGTGTAAGTGACATTATCATTATATATGTTTTTGTTTTAAAAAAGAAAAATTAAGGGAAAACGAGATAAAAACTGATAATATTGCTTCAAGGCAAGAGCTAAACTTTACTTGCCATTGTCTGCTGAGATGGTGTATGGGTAGAATGTTGTTTGGAATCCTACTTGCCCTTGTTTCCATTTTTTGATGAATAAGCAAAGGGTTTATAATCCTACTTAATCTTTTTTTTTAATCTTTGCATTATTATTATTATTATCATGTAGGATACAGTACTTCATAGTGCCTGTGAAGGAGGACGTACAGAAATAGTTAGACTACTACTGAAGCATAAAGCTGATGTCAATGTCACTAATAAGGACAGTGTAAGAGACATAATTATATATATAAATATATATTAAAGAGAAAGCAAAAACAATAAGGTACTACAAGATAAAACTGATAATATTGCTTCAAGGCAAGAGCTAATCTTTGCTTCAAAATGGCAGCCAATTGTCTGCTGAATCGGTATATGGGTAGACAGTTGTTTGGAAATTGGAACCCTACTTAATTTTTTTAAATTTTTATATTAGTTATTATTATTATTATCATGTAGTGTACAGCACTTCAAATTGCCTATATACGACAACATACAGAAATATTTGAACTACTACTGGAGCATGGAGCTAATGTCAATGTCACTGATAAGGACAGTGTAAGTGACATTATCATTATATTTTTTGTAAAAGAGAAAAATTAAGGAAAGCAAGATAAAACTAATGATATTGCTTCAAGGCAGAGCTAATATACTTGCCGTTGTCTGCTGAATTGGTATATGGGTAGAAAGTTGTTTGGAATCCTACTTGCCCTTGTTCCATTATTTTTTAAATGAATAAGCACATTTTATATAAATCCTACTCAATCTTTTTTTAATTTTTGCATTATTATCATGTAGGATACAGTACTTCATAGTGCCTGTAAAGGAGGACGTACAGATATAGTTAAACTGCTACTGAAGCATAAAGCTGATGTCAATGTCACTAATAAGAACAGTGTAAGAGGCATAATCATTAAATATATATATATTTGATGAATAAGCACAGAGTAAATTTTACTTAATTTTATTTTAATTTTTGCATTATTATTATTATCATGTAGTGTACAGCACTTCAAATTGCCTATACAGAAAAACATACAGAAATAGTTGAACTACTATTGGAGCATGATCGAGTTGATGTCAATGTCACTGATAAGCTCAATGTAAGTGACATTATCATTATTATATATATATATATATGTGTGTGTGTGTTTTAAAGAAAGAAAAAATGATATAAAACCTACTTAATCTTTTTTGCATTACTATTATTATTATTATTATTATTATTATTATTATTATTATTATTATTATTATTATGAGAGAAAAGGGCAACAAAAAGAGAGGAAATATATAGAAAGGAGGAGAGGGAGGACCCGAGAGAAAGACAAAAAGAAAACAAAAATATTATTATTATTATTATTATTATTATTATCATGTAGCATACAGTACTTCATAGTGCCTGTGAAGGAGGACATACAGAAATAGTTAAACTACTACTGAAGCGAGAAGATACTAATGTTACTAAATGCGATAATAATGATCTTAATGCTCTAGATATTGCTGTAGAGAAAGGAAAAAAGTAAAAATTAATAATTATGAATGATAATAATTACCACAGTTCTTTTTAATAATCTAGAGATGCTGCAATGGCTATAGTGAATAGTGATAAGCACTGGAAGGATGCATTACGTAATTGTATAGATACAAGAGAGGAAAGTGCCTATAAAGTGTGTGGAATAACGTGTTTCAAAAAAAGAAAAAATAAAATCACAACACCAATGAGAAGAATGATCAAGAAGATGCCAGGTTAATCCATTATTAGTATCATTTATGGTTACTGCACTAATGGCTCTATTATATGTACATTGTAGATGTAGCTAAAGTTGTTTTTGAAAAGTGCTGTGAGAAAGATAACCCACCAGATCATCCTGATCTTGAGATTACTTTTAATTATGAGTTCCTTGATGATTTTGATCTGTAAGAATATTAAAATGTTCTTTTATTAAGAGCAAGCAATTATTTTTCTATTATTTGCTAGTAATAAAAGGACTAGTAATAACAGGACACCTGAAAAATGGCCTCCACGGTTAAAATATTCTAGTGAGAATCATTGTCTTAATATTCTTGTAAGCTATATACTTTATAATAATTATAAATTATAACTGTTATTCATAGGCTGATTCACAAAGTGCAGATTTATTGAAGCATCCACTTGCTGCTACACTACTTGATCAAAAATGGAATAAAATAGGCCGTATAGTCTATTACACTAATTTGATATTTTATTTGTCATTTGTCATTCTACTGACATCATATGCTCTCACTGTCAATCCTCCAAATTCAAACATATGTAAGTTATCATAAGTCATTTATTAATTATACTGTTCATAATAGGTATGGAAGTATTTGGAAATGACAATGAAACATCTATTGATTGCTTTACAGGTAATTGCCGAATATTAACTATTATATGACTGTAATGTGACTATCTCTTGTTTAGAGGAAAGATTTGTAGCTCAAATATACATATCTATTGCTAGTGTGTGCCTGATTGTTTATTCTGCAATCATGATAATACGAGAAGCATTTCAACTGGTTTTGTTTCGAGAAGAGTATTTGACCAGTCCTGTCAACTTTATTGAAGTCCCACTATTCATCTTTACAATAATGTTTGCATCAGTACATAGCAACCAGTGCTTTTGTACTCGTTCATGGCAGTGGCAGGTTGGAGTGATTGCTGTATTCCTCAGTTGGATTGCACTAATATTCTCCATAAGAAAGTTACCAGTAGTTGGAATATATGTGGTCATGTTTATAAAGATTTTTAACAACTTTATCAAGGTTGTCATCCTTGCCTTACTATTAATCTTAGCTTTTGCAGTTCCTTTTTATATGATGTTTTATGATCCTCAAGATAGAGCAGAAGGAATAGTAAGACTCAAGTATTTTTTGTCTCTATCACTTTTTTCATGCAGCGTACTCCATTTATCACTCCATGGAGGACAACTGTTAAGGCAATAACAATGACAGTGGGGGAACTTGATATGGATTCAATATTGCGACAGAATAATCAAATGAATTCCCCTGATGTGCAGTATCCAGTGGTTTCATTTTCATTAATAATTGTGTTTGTGATTTTAATGCCGATCCTATTTCTTAATTTATTAGTATGTTCATATTTTATTTATTCAATCCACTAACCAATCCATTTCATATAGATTGGTTTAGCTGTTGGTGACACTGATGAAATACAAAAATCAGCTGATACTTACAGACTAACTTTGAGGGTAAGAACTGATTTGCATATGCATTACCAAGTACCCTTGAATTACTCAATGTAGGTTGAATTTACATTACCTATTGAAGAATTTCTAAGATCATTTAAGAACAATCTTGATAAAAAGGAGCGACTAAAAAAAGTTTCGACTTTGTTGGAAAAGATTGTAACCATTACTAAAACGAAGGATAAACCAAACAAACATAGTTTCTTGAAACGAATAATTGATAAGATTGAGAAATCTATTAAAACTGAACCTCCAGTGAGTGAATGTACATAGTGAACCTCCTCTTTTATCATGAATGTTAATTTATACAGGCAACTGTAGCTGATGTTAAAAATCAAAGCAAATCATTATCTCAGGAAATGAAGGACCTACGCAGTTCGGTATCTCAGGAGGTGAAGGACTTACGCAGTTCAGTGTCTCAGGAGGTGAAAGACCTACGCAGTTCAGTGTCTCAGGAAGTGAAGGACCTACGCAGTTCAGTATCTCAGGAAGTGAAGGACCTACGCAGTTCAGTGGCTCAATTGCTAGCTATTGTTAACAGTATGAATGAAAAAGTAGGAGGAGGAAAAGGAGGAACAGGAGAAGGAGGATTGGGANCTGGAGGATTAGAAGAGGAGNTGGAGCAACAGAAATAATTTTGCTTAGCTTTGGGAGGAGGGAGAGTGATTTTTAACTTTAAAAATTAAAATTAGTATTGTGTGGATTTAATAGACTATTACATGCTGAACTCTTTTATAATTCGTTTTTGTGTGTCCCTTTATGCTCCCTTTGTCACTACTGTTCCTTATTAGTTTTTATTTTGTGTGCCCCTTATTGCTATTGCTTTTTATTGCTTTTATTTTGTGTGCCCCCTTATTGCTTTTTATTAATTTTCACCGTTTAATGCATAATGATCCACGTGGCTATACATGTGATATTAGTTTTTGAATTTTCAAAATTCAAACTCCACGTCTCCACCCCATCACACATTTCATAGATAAAAAAATCAAAAACAATGTCAGAAGCTATACCGGGTATATTGTCTACCTGATGAGTTTAAACAAAGCACTTAACTGTGCCTGAGCAACCATTTTGAAATGTGAGCACACATGGGTGCACTGGGTGGCTGGCTGCAATTGGTTCATGGTTCAATGTGCATGTATATAGCTACAGTTAAAACAATGCATGTCATGTATAAAAACTAGGAGGCTATAAAGTTTGGCCCCTGTATACCACTACTAGGAGACCGGAGTGACTTTCTCTCTTTCCTATTGATTGCAGTCGGTAAAGTCTTCAAGATTATTTCATTTTTAATGACAAACATTTCAACTTTTATTAAACTCAACTAATATAGATACATGGGTGTCTTGACATAAATTTGGAACCTTAAAAATTAAAATTTTAATTAGAATTTCTACACAACATATTTTGTACATTAATTATAAAAGATGTGTGCATGTGTGGAGTATCAAAATTTAAAAGAATTATTTTTCCAAAATTAAAAACTAGTACATAAATCTCTAGCTTCAGTCTTGAGTATCAATCCACTTGACACTTCATTTTTATTGCAGCTTGAACCTATCAATGATAATATTAAATTCCTTACACAAACTTACTGTTATTATTGTTATTCTTCTTTTTGTATGTAGTGCTCTTAGCATCACTAGCAGTAGTAACCACTAGTGATCCCAGGCAGCGCCACGTGGAGGCGGCACTACACTGCTGCCCAAAAATAGAAACAACATGAGGCCCTAGTCAGGCGTCTGACACTCGCAGGCCGCAAGACTACTGAGGCCCCAGGTCGTAAAAATAATAATAAAAAATAATAATAAATAATAATAAATAATAAAAATAACAAATTATAAACGATAATAATAATTAAATAATAATAAATCATAAAACCTAGATCTATAACCTATACCTACACTATATAACCTATATCCTATAACAACCTGTTTCCTAATTTCTATACTATAACTACCTTCTAATTTTTACTATATAATAACTACACCATAACTTAATATAACTATACCTGCTTCCTAATTTCTACTACAATACCTACACTATACCTATAACTACCTTCTGACTTCTACACATAACCTATATCCTAGGTATAACTACATGTTTCCTATAATTATTTATTATACGTACACTACACTGTATAACCTGTATACCTAACACTACATGTTTCTTAATTTCTACTACTAACCTGTATATCAAACACTACATGCATGTTTTCTAATTTCTACTACTAAACCTACACTATATAACCTGTATACCTAACACTACATGTTTTCTAATTTCTACTACTAAACCTACACTATATAACCTGTATACCTAACACTACATGTTTTCTAATTTCTACTACTAAACCTACACTATATAACCAGTACCCTTCTATTTTCTACTACTACCTATGACCTTTAAATGGCACAATGTTACCTACGTGTACATCTATACCATAATAATCTTGCTATAAAAGTACATTCTAATCTTATAATACATATCATACCATTATATTTATACCTACATTAACTTATTAACCTATGGACTTTAATATGACACAATATGATACCTATACCATATTAACCTTCCTATACAAATACATTTCTATCTTAATATCATACCATATTACCTATACCTACAATTTATATTGTATACATAATGTAAGACAAGTTATCTTAATACTGTACCATTATCTAATGACTTATTATTGCCTCGTCTAAATATTGTAACCTCTACAACCTCAACATAATGAGTAGTTTTAATACACAATCTATCTCACATAATGTGCATATTATCGAGAATAATTATGAATTAATTGGGCATCTTATAAAATAACAATAGACACTTGTCACAAAATGCATCACAGAATTGAGATTTCGCTAATATCGTGTCAACTTAAAGCATTATTTGCATCAAAACGTCAGATCATGCACACGTAATTTTAACGTTACGTTGATGATAAACTTACAATGAGAATTATTGACTTATTTTGAAACCTGAGGCTAACACTCAACAATAAACAAATGAGCTTAAGCCCAATGCTGTCACAGTATCAAGAAAGAGAATGAGAGTTATAGGAAGCTGGTGCCCGGGTCCATCAACAACCCTAATCACAGACCCTCCCAATCCACCCACTGTGACTAGGCTTTGTTCCTCTCCTTTCTACTCTCCCCACCTGAAGACAGCTAATAATAGAGGAATGATTCGATTGTAAACTGACAGGAGAAGTGTAGAGTAGTGATGCATGATATGACAATAGTGGTAAGTCCTGTGTCCACAGCAACCACCTCCTTGATTAGAGCCTGATGTCTTTCTGAAGAGCTGTTCATAGACAGTAAATCTGTTCTTGATTGATAACCTCTCACCCTATGATCAATAGTGACAAACAGTAGCTATCCCAATGATTACAAAATAGGTCTTCCTTCTTGCATGCTTTGAAAAGCAGATGGAGTGATCCAATGATGACGAATACGGTTGAGAGAAAGCAAAAGTAGAGACCACAAGACGTTACAATTTTACGCTACGTGACTATGCAGCGTGACACGCCAAGCATACTAAAACGTAATATAATATTATACATTTACATATGCAATAATTAGCATATGAACATTAACTAAACTTAGAAACAGTTTAGGGTCATGTTTAGGACGGTTAAAATCTAACAAAATGTGTATGAGGAACATGTGTAAATTTGGGTCACCTGTATGAGGAGCATGTATGAATTGTGTCACCTATATAAGAAACATGTATAATTATTGAGAATATGTGGTACTATTGTCAAATTATGAAACAAATTGTGATAGTAACAATACACACTCACACTCAAGCCATAAAACACAACCCAGAATTAAAACTTCGCTAATTTCGTGTCAACTTTATAAAGTGTTATTTTCATTAAATCATCAGATTACCCACGCAGTTTTGACGTGACGTTGATCATAAACCTACAATGAGAGTTATTGACTTATTTTGAAAGGTGAGGCAAATATTAAACAATTGATCCTAAGTCAAAGCCATGTCCGGGATCGAGAAAGATATCAAAGATATCAGAATGAGAATTAGGAAGCTAGTGCCCAGGTTAATCAAGCTACCTGCATCACAAACCTCACCAATCTACCCACCGTAACCTGGCTTAGCTCAACTGTATAGTGTTTGCCTGCTTTTAAGTAGTTAAAGGATCAAGACAGAAAAGAAAAAGAAAAGTCTGATCCTTTCTTCTGCTTAGAATCCATATCATACAAAAAGGAAAGAGAAGAAGAGAGGGTTCCAAGCATGAGATACTGGGTGCCTCGATCCGACCCAAAAGGGGGATGTACTCCCTTCGCCCACACTCCTGTGCAAAACCATCTCCCCTCCGCTTCCCTCTCACATGATCGGGACTAAAAGCAGGTCACTCAGAAAAAGGGTAGCTCAACCCATACAGTGAAAAAACATGTTCATGTCTTCATTTAATCCAAAACAGCTTGGATATGTTCTCCTCTCCTCCTCCGGTAGTCTATTAGTTCTTCTCCTTCCTCCTCTCAGAATGCTAGTATTAGATGAAGATCCAATATTGTAAACTGTAGATTAGTGCTGGATGCTTGAGCCTCAATTCTATGATAGCAGTGGAAAGTACTACAGCTGTGTCCACATCAGCGACCACCTCCTTGATAGCTGATGTCCTTCCAAAGAGCCATTAGTAAATCATATGGAATGTTCTTGATTGATACACTAGCTCTCACAAGATACTGAATTAATTCATGATGCATAGTAACAAATGATACTTCGATGTGATTGAAAATACCAAAATAGATTTAAGTTTTCTTGCAAGCAGGTGGAGTGATCCAGTGATGACAAACATTGTCCAGAGAAAGCAAGACTGGAGACCAGGAGACGTTGCGGTTTTACGCTACGTGAGGACACGTGTACAAACACGAGCAAAAACATAATAATATATTATTATGCACACATGTACATGCAGACACTAACATATTAAAAAACAAGAATATGAAATATGGGCACTGGTACGTGTACATAAATACAGAACCAGTAAGGGACAACCAATATTATACAAACACACCAATAATAGCTAAACATGTACATGTTGAGAAAATACTTGAATAGTGAGATATCTCGATCCACACTGCAGCTACTTATATAACCTATGACCCTTTACATTATACCAAAACCATTTGATGAAAACCAAATTTAAACCTATATCATAATTATTAACCTTGCTATATATAAGTACATTTTTCTATCGTAATAGCGTACCATTCCTATACATACAACTTATAACATTATGATCAATCCTTAATATGACACAATGATACCAACACCATACATTGTATTAATTTTGCTATAACAGTATAATATCTTAATACTATACTATTACCTATGTACAACCATTAATGTTACCTACATCATAATATATAAACCTTGCTATATAAATGGGTATGTTCCTATCCTTCATTGCCTACACTGACTTAGCACTAATGAACCATAATATGACATAAAAACCATATCGTGTACCTATACCATACTAACCTTATTGCTATACAAAGTACATTCCTCTCTTAATACTATAACATTACCTACCTACAACTTGTGCTGTATGACCACACAACATAAGACAACTTAACTTAATACTAAATAACATACCATTAACCAATAATCTATTACCATTGCTTCCTACCATAGTACTGTATATGACTCTGTCTATTATTGTAACCTCTACAACCTTAACATAATAATAGTAATCTTGATATACAATCTAACACAATGTTCATATTTATAGTACTAATAATACACAATAATAATTATGAAATATCTTGTGTGG